GGATGTCAATGGCGCCATAGGTGTCCAATGCCTGCGGAAGGATTCACCCCAAAGAGTGACTGGGCCCCCACAGACCAGTGGGACGACCCCATAACCCCACGGGATACCCAGATACCGGGTTCAGTGAGGCCTCCACAGACCAATGGGAGCCCCCACCAAACAACGGGATCCCATGGTGACACGTAACCCCATGGGACTACTCACAGACGGGTGGCCCCCCCATCGAGTCCCACCGAATGATGGGATCCCCACGCACCCCACAGAGTGATGGTACCCCAGCAGTTCCCCATAGAACAGTGGAACTTCCACGGTGCTCTATAACCCCATGGGACCTCCCTGACCGCAGAGCTCTTTGACCCCACAGCCCCATCGCACCCCATAGCCTCACTGCCCCCAGTAACCCTTTATCTCCATAGCCCCACCGATCCTGCACAACCCTATGGGCTCCCACCGACCCCCTGCCCTCCACAACCCTATCGCTCCCCAGTGCACCATATCTCCCCATGTCTCCCTCCCACCTCCACTGCCCCCATAACCCCACATCCCCACCCCTCACCGTCTGCACCAGGCGCTGCCGGTCCTGGGGCTGCCCCACATGGCACACCACCCCGCTGACCTCCAGACCCTGAGCCCGCAGCTTCTGCACGGCCACATCCACGTTGGGCTGACGCCGGGAGCTCAGCAGCACCCGGGCCCCCGCCGCCCCCAGCCTCTGTGCCACCGCCAGCCCGATCCTGTGGGGAGGGGGAGGCTGGGGGCACTGCGGGGAGAGGGGTTCTTGGGGGAACATGGGGGGGTCGTAGGACATGGTGGGTCTGGAGAGACGTGGGGATATATGGGATAACGGGGGGGGTTACGGGGTGATGGAGAAACATCGGAAGTGTCTACAGAGTCAGAAGGGTTATGGGGAGATGCAGGGGGGGGCTGGGAGGACTTGGGGATTCTGAGTTGATTTAGGCTATGGGGAGGTTTATGGGGAGACGCGTTTGGTGTGACAAAGGGGACATATGGAGCTGTGGGGACGTGGGGAGGCTGTGGGATGATGAAGAGGCTACGGAGTTCCCACGGGTACACGGGGGTTACGGGGGAACATGGGGGCCAACGGGGACATAGAGGGCTATGGGTCACCGGTGGGGCAAAGGGGAGATGGGAGCAATGGGGGGGAGCGGAGGAGCCGAGAGGCCACGGGGCGTTGTAGGTCACTCACCCGTCGGTGGCGGCGGTCACCAGAGCCACTTTCCCTTCCAGGTTCCTCCCGGAATTAAGGGCAGCCCCCCCGGACAAAGCCCGCAGCCCCGCTCGCCCCATAACGCCCCACATCGCCCCGCTCCGCCCCACGGCCTTTGCCCTGCGAGGGGAGGGGCGGGAGGAGGGGCCGGGAGCGCTGGGGGGGTCGGGAGGGCCGACGGGGGGGACGGCAGGGGGGAGGGGCGGGGGAAAGGGAGCTGGAGTCGGAGGGATTGGGAGGAACTGGGAGTTATGGGGGGGCAGCAGGGGAACAGGGGGGCTGAGGTCGTTCCACGATGTATTGGGGCGGTGGGCTGTCCTGGGTGAACGGGAGAGGGACGATGTATTGGGGAGGGACGCAGGGGGGATCTTGGGGAGGGGCTCTGAAGGTTACAGGGGATCGCCGGAGCGCACCGGGAAGAGCCGGGCTGCGCTCGGGTTCCTTCGGACGTTTCCGGCGTCGCTCGGGAACTTCCGGCGTCGCTCGGCTCGGCTCGGCTCCTCTCGGCCGCGGCATGGCCCCGCCGGCGGGGGACGTGTCCCGGGAGCTGCAAGGTAGGCGCCCAGCGCCCCTGTAACCCCAAATCTCCCCACTTCACCCCAAATCCCATCCACATCCCTCCATTTCACCCCCAAACCTCTCAAAATCCTTCAATTTCCCGCTAAATCCCCTCAGTTTTGCATTCAATCCTCCCATTTTCCTCTAAATCCCACCCTCGTTTCCCTCAGATCTCCCCATTTACTCGCAAATCCCAATTAACTGCTTCTATTTCCCCCCAAATCCGTCCACAGTTTCCCTCAATTTCCCTCAAATCCTGCCCGAATCCCCTCATTTTCCCCGAAATTTCTCAATTTCCCCTCATTTCCCCCCGTATCTCTCTTCGTGGGATCCCCCATAAACTCCCATGGGCTCAAGGCCCCCATAACTCGCTCCATATCTTTCCTCATCCCCCATCCAATCACCTCATACGTCCCCAGACCTCCTCAGTGCTCCCCTCCATCACCCCATAGCGATCCGTGTTCTTTCTATGGAGCCACCATATTCCATCCATAGCCCTCCTATCCCCCTCTGTACCCCCCTAATCCCCAAATCCCTTCCATTGACCCTCCCATCACCTCAGCACCCCTCCTTATTCTCTCCACACTCCCCGCATTCCCCTCCACGGCCATCCCGTAATCCCGCCCCAATTACCCTATAGCATCCCCCCGTAATCCCCTAAGACATCCACAACCCTTCCGTAGGCCCCTAACGTACAATATACCCCCATAAACTTCCTAGCCCCACACCCGCCCCCCAGACCCCTTCCGTGCTCCCCCACGTCCCGCCATAACCCCCCACACCCCATAACCCCCACATTCTGCCATGACCCCCTGGAGCTCCCAGCCCCCCTCCTTTCCCCCCGTGCCCCCGAAGCTCCGCGTCCGCGGCTCCGGGCCGGGCGCTGTCCGTGGTGCTGAAAGCGGCGCTAAACGGCGGTGGGAGCGGGGAGGGGGCGGCCTGGGGGGCGCTGGGGAGGGGGAGGTTCCTGGGATGAATCCTTCCCCTCGTAACCCCGACCCCGTTCAGAAAGCATCCGCCGGGCCCTGGGGCGGCCCCGCATCCACCTGCTGCTGCGTGCCCGCCTGGAGACCAAACCCCGTCGGCTGGAGGAGAGGATCCTGGTGGGAGCTGGGAGGGATGAGAGGAACGGGAGGGGGATCGGGGCCCTGGGAGGGGGACTGGGGGCGCTGAGAGGGATCCAGGGTTATTGGAAGCACTGGGAATACTGGAAGCGGGCTCAGGGGTACTGGGAGTAGAAATGGGGACACTGGGAGGGGGTCTGGGACATTCGCTATTACAGACCTAAGGGTTACTGGGAGCACTGGGAGGGGGTCAGAGGCTACTGGGAGGCACTGGCACTGAAAGTAGGGACACTGAAAGGGGTCTGGGGGCACCGGGAGGTACTGGAAGCACTTGAAGGGGAAATGGGATGCTCTGGGAGGGAGGCTGATGGCACTGAGAAGGGAAATGGGCAAATGGGGCACTGGGAGAGGTCTGAGCTCTTACTGGAAGCACTGGGAGCCCTGGGTGCCAGCCTCTGTCCCCCAGGCCCTCACTGCCTGGCGCCTGCACCTCTTCGGCCCCACAACACCGGCCAAGGTGAGCCCTTGCACGGGAATTTGCACGAGTGGATGTGCTCAATGTCCACGCGGATTGATACGGGGATGTGCAGAACGATTTGCATAGGGATGTTCAGAGGGATCTGGTTGTGCCCAGCACGACCCACTGCATGAGAAACCACGTGAGGCTTTGCACTGTTCCCTGGCACAAGCATTTCATGAGCATTTGCACAGGGTTCACAGAAGCAGCTGCTTGCACCAGCCTGCCTTTTTGCACAGACATTCACATGAAAGCTTAGATGGGAATTCGCACAATAATTTGCACGAGGATTTGCACAAATGTATGCACGAGGGTTTGCATGGAGTCCATCCTCTTGCAGCAGGGTTTTCATTCTGCTGAGCCCTTTCCCACCTGTTTGCACAAAGATTGCCATGAGAAATTGCACGTGGATTTGCATGCCCATCTGTGTGCCCACGTGCACAAAGGTTGCTGTTTGCTGCCAGGCCGAAGGTTCCCTGAGCGTGCTGGAGATTCGCTGCATCAGTGCCACCAGCCCCACCCAGGTACCCACCGCCTCCCAGTGCAGACCAGTATGGGCCAGTGCGGACTGGTGACCCTCCACTGCTTGCCCAGAATCCTGCCGAGCCTCTCCGTGTGCCCCAGTGCCCTTCCAGTGACTGCCAGTACCGCCCCAATGATCTCCTTAAGTCATTGCTTTACCTTATAATGTTTCCCAGTATGGACCAGTATGGACCAGTGGCCCTCCACTGCCTGCCCAGTCTCCATCCACTGACTCCCAGTGCCTCTCGGGCCCTTACAGTATATCCCATTACCTCCCATTATGGACCAGTGTGAACCAGCCAGCCTCCACCACCTTCCCAGCCCCCTCCCAGCACCTCCCAGCCCCCTCCCAGCACATCCCAGTGCCTCCCAGTCCCTCTCAGGACATGTCCTGTTCTATGTCCATCCCCCCAGTCTTGCTGTATGTCAGCTTTTCTTCCATGACATCCCAGTGTGTTTCCAGAACCTCCCTGCACACCTCCAGTCTCTCCTAAAGCCCTCCTCGCCCCTCCCAGCACCCTCCCAGTATATTGCAGTGCCCTTCCAGTTTGTACAAGTCTCTCCAGTCCCCTCCATTCCCATTAGAGAGCCCCAGTCCCCCCAGGGCTCTCCCAACACCCCCCACCAATGCCTCCCAGTGCCTCCCAGTACACCCAGTTCCTAGGTGCGCCTGGACACGGAGCGGGGTCCCCTGGCCCTGGCCCTTGCCAGCCCTTCTGCTGCCGCCTGCCTGGCCCGGGAGCTGGGAGCCGCCCTGGGGCGGGCCCTGCCCTGTGCCCCCCCCGTGTGAGCCATGCTTGGGATGTGCTGGGAGAGGGTTGGGGCGGGCGGTGGGGGGGTCAGGGAGGGGACCGGGAGGCATTAGGAGAGGGCGGAAGGGGGAGGGAAGGGCTTTGGGATATACTGGGAGCAGTCTGGGGAGGGATTAGGTGGCACTGGGTTGTGCTGGGATGAACTGGGAGCGGTCTGGGGGCACTGGGATGTACAGGGAGGGCACTGGGGTGGGTGGTCACCGCGGTGTACTGGGATGAACCGAGACGGGTGCGGGTGCTCTGGAGCGCATCGGGGGCTCCAGTCGCGCGGTCTGGGGGGGCTCTCACTCTTGTCCCCGCCCCCAGCTGGACCCTCCCCCCGGTCCCGCCCCTCGACACCTCCCCCACCTCGGAGAGCTCCGCCTCCAGCGGCCCCAGCGTCTGCGGTGAGGGGCGTGGCCTCGGAGGGGGCGTGGCCACGAGGAGGGCGTGGCCTCGCCAAGGGAGGGTGCTCGATGGTGGGCGTGGCCTCGGGGGCTGTGTTGGTGTTCGTGAGAAACGGGAAGGGGCGGTTGGGGGGAGGGGCGTGGCTTGTGGCAGGTGGGCGTGGTCTGGGAGGGGGCGCGGACAAGATCGGCCACGCCTTCTCCCCTCCAACCCCCCCAGGGGGCTTCTCGGACACCTACGCGGCGCTGTGTGACTACAACGGGCTGAGCTGCCGGGAGGAGGTGCAGTGGGTGCGTGGCGGGAATTGAGGGCTGTGGGGCGCTGGGGGTGGCTTGAAGGGGTTCTCTGGGGGGCTTTGGGAGGTTTATGGGGTGCCTGGGGGCCTTTGAGAGAACGTATGCGGGCAGTGCTTTGGAGGGTACGTGGGGTGTTTTGGTTGGGTCGGTGGGGTTTATGAGAAGCTTTCTGGGGGGGCTCTATGGCATTCCTAGGGGACCTTGAGGGGTCCGTGGGGAAATCTTGGGGGGGTCCTGGGTGATCACTGGGGGTCTCAGTGTTCTCTTTTGTCCTGAGGGATTTATGGGGATATATGTGGGGTTTTGGAGGTGTTTGGGATGCAAAGAGAGCATGGGGTTTTAGGGGGGTCGATGGTAGTTTGTGGGTTCAGCACCAAGGACAGCGTCGAGAGAGGGCTTGGGCTCCACGGGGCTGCTGGGAATCCTTGGGGTCCTTCCGGGGACCCTTGGGGGTCTCTGGGAGGCTCCAGGGGGTTTTTGGGGTCCTGCTGGTCAGTGGTGGGTCTATGGGGTCTTTGGATTTCTCTGGGGGGTCCCTGGGGGGCTATGGGGGTTTTGGGGTCCCCCCAGGACGTGGACACGCTGTACCATGCGGGGGAGCGGAGATGCTTCGACCTGAGGGACTTCAGCCACTTGGAGAGCCGGTGATGGTGGCACTGGGGGCACTGGGAGGGAATGGGTGTTATTGGGAGCACTGGGAAGAGGCTCGGGGCAATTAGGAGGCACTGGAAGGGGAAAGGGGGACAGTGGAAGGGGTTTGGGAACAGTGGGAGGTACTGGGAGGGTGAATAGGAGTATTGGGAGGGGGTCTGGAGCACGTGGAGGCACTGGGAAGGCATGGGGAACTACTGGGAGGTCACTGGTGCTTACTGGGAGTGCTGGGAGGCGGCTCAGGGTTACTGGAAGGCACTGAGGAGTTCGGGTGCTTACTGGTGGCACTGATGCAGGGAGCTGGCACTGGCAGTGGCAG